GTTGCTGAGTCTGAACGCATTGTGCGCACAATGTATTTTACCCATCAAAAGCCCGTTCCGAGCCATTCAGTTTCTAGAGCTGTTTTAGTTTTGGGACACCGCTACCTAATGCTGGATGCGCTCGTAAGCACAATTCAAGTTTTGGGTCCGGCGATGAATGCATCCCGGTGGTGGTCCAAGCTTGTTGATGCCATTCCAACGGAAGTACTTGACAGAAATACCCCCTCGCCTTTCGAAAGAACAAGGCATTACGAAAGGATTGCATTTCAACTGATCAAGGCAATCGAGTCGTTGAAAAAGGGCGTTCGACTCGAGGCATGGGACACTGTCGAATTGAAACGCGAGCTCTTTTGCAGAGAGAGCTCTCCTCGATGGTTTAAAACATTCCGTTGGGATTCTTGGCGAAAAGATGATGAAGACTCGTCCTCTGGTCAACGGAAGTAACCTATAGATTCTGCAGCAGCTACAATTCGATGGCGGGCTTTGCTCTTGTGCCTATTATTGCGAAGCCGAGTAAGAAGCTCGTGTTGGCTAATGCCGCCAAGTGGTTCATCAAATGTTTCGACTTTTCAGTACTGGAGGGTGGAGCGACCACCAGTAAAATGTACCCGTGCGTAGGCGGCGCGTTTTCTGAACGCGCCGCCAGTCTGGGAGGCATGATGAGAAAATACAAACTGTGGATGGCTATGGCAAGCTTGCGTGACTGCACTTGCTGACGCCCCTGACACTGGACTTATTAATCTTTTCCGGAATCACTGCTTCAAACAAGCGGGGCCGCAAAAAGTTGTTTGTAAATATTCCGCGATATAATGCTTTTCTCTCGAAGACGGCGCCAGCTGTTGTAGGTTGGCGTCTGGCTAGTGATTTTGCTTCAGAGAGCCGAAAGGGGCCCCGCAGGGACCGTCAACTGGAGGTCCGTCTGCACACGACAGGATTTCACAGTACCCATGCAGTGCCGAACCTGCTCAACACGCAGATCTGTGACACATTTACTGTGGCGTGTGTACGTGCTTTTTCTTCGACTAGTGAATTTGCTTTTGTAATGACCCGCGTGGTCATGCTTCTTGTTCCGTGAAGGTAATCTGCAAAATAAGAGCTTGACACAAAGTTGTGGTCTTAAGTAAAGATACAAAGGTGAAGTAAAGGCAGAACCGACAGACCTGCTTTCAAGGGAGACTACTAGCCTTTCTGTTCCCTAACATTAGGCCTTTGGATGATAGGTTTGTGCTTGTGCCTTGCCTGCCTTGCTGCATTTCGGTCCAGTAGATACAGAGCCGACTAACGCATATAAGCGCGCAAGCAAACCAGATTCGGTTAGTGTCTATTCGGCTTACAACTTGCCTGTCAGTTCTTGCTTGGCGCAACTGTAAAAAGAACACTTGAAGTCTTTGTTAAGTCTGTTCTTCCTCTTTAAAAAATGTTGCGTGAACATTTGAATATTTGGTGATGCTAGATAGCAGCAATGGACCCTTTTATTTTTGGTTTTTCTTTCCTGGTGTCCAGAAACCGCTTTGTCACCCCTGATTTCGTTAGAATGCTATAAAGTCCTTCTTTGTGGGACCTAGAGAACACGCCAGCTGGGTGATGCGTAGCGGAGGTGGCTTCTACAACGCAAGAAACGCCCCTTAATCGCCTGTATGCCGCCCCATAACACTAGTAGGAGCTTAATCCCATTCTGGATATGAAAAATGAAATGTCATCAGCTAGGCTTAGTGAGGCCACAGTAATGCCTCATTCACGTCGTGTGCAGCGATCACATGATTCGCTACGAGCAGCGCAGAAAGCACTAAAGCAGAGTTACTCGCTTTTGGAAGGATACAGATGAAAACGTAACATCAAAGCACAAAGAATTGGGGGCAAGTAACAGTGTAACCGTGTCGGGGAGTGTGTTCGAGGGTAGCGGCTTGCCGTGAAGCATTGCAAACTCACCTCCTGCCCTGCAGGGTGTCTGCGTATTCATGAGCGCGCATGACCCATGCTGGTGGAATTCTGCTTCCCTGTCTGGCCGCTGATTGTAGCGAGCCCATAGCGCTATATAAACGCTTGCGCTGTCTTCATAGAGTTGGACTAGCTTTGGTTGCGAATCCCCCGAACACTGCCCCCAGATTCAAGCAAAATCCAAATACATTTCAGAGTGAGATCTGTTTAGTTCCGTTGTGGGAAATTGTTTCTGCGGCAGGTACTACAAGGGCTGACCGGAGTAATGGCCCGAGGAAGAAGCCAGAGCCGCTTCAAGCTAAGTACTATCGCTGCTGCAGTTCGAATGGTTGAAAAGGAATCCTCAGTAGTATTCGCCATGTACAGCCAATGTGTACTATGAAAATGTTGCGGTTTTAGGATGCGCGCGGGTGAAGCTAGAGTGCATCACGCACCAAGCTTGACACAGGAAGGTCGGGAGGAAAGTTCATGTGAAAGGAGAAAAAGTTACCACAGCTAAGTATCGAGCAACGGCTTTATCCTGGCCTTCACTCAACGCGTTTTCGGTTCATTTCTTTCGCTTTGCCGATGCTCCGTATTGCTGTTGGTTGTTTCTTGTTCATGTGAAAAGCATATGTGGGGATATTCCGTCCAAAGAAGAATTTCGTGTAAATAAGTTTGACGAATAAACTAGTGGAAAGGGAGCAGACACTCCTGCACTACACGCCTTACATCCGCTAGTATTTCGTTGACTTCTGGGTGAGACGAAATCGCGCCAACTGGGCGGAAGTCTTGGGTTTTCGTGAATTTCACAGAACTTAGGGCTATACACGATCACAGCTGTCCCCAGGAGTATTTCTCATTCAAACTCGCAGCGCCTAGCAAGGGAACGGATGCGCCAGAGAGAGGACAAGAATACATTTGCCTGGCAGTTCGCCAAGGAAGTCCAAATATTATAAATCAGCGCCTTCATGGCCTTATCAGCGGCTGTAGAGGTGTCTTGAATTGTGGCAGCTGACAACAACGACAGTTCCTGTTCTTCCTCTGATGAAGCATTGAGCTAGTTTTCTGACATGATAATCCCCTATGTCTTGTTTCCTTTACGCTCGAAAGATATTCATTCTGCTTCTCTAAAGCTGTTTTTTGAGCATTTTGACTCATCTCGCGCGCAGCGTGAGAAAGGAGGGATTATATGCAGTTTCTCAGGTGCTTTCTGGCCGTGCTCCCAGGGAAAGACATTCCGATCGAGAACCTGCTAAAGCGCATAAGAATGATTTTTGCAGTGTGAACGATATGAATGTGCTTCTATACAATCGCTTTTGCGTTTCACGCGGCGCTGCGTTTCCTCATAGCGAGTATCATGCGAATGCGGACGTCGTCCTAGTTGGAGAGTGTAACACTGCTTCTGCAAAATAATTCGTATGCGCTCATGAATATATTTGAGATATTCAAGTCTGCACTAAGCAGTATTTTGCTTCCGCCACGGTATCCTTGTTCACTGGCTCGTCGTCTACCTGCAGCCTACGATGGTCGCGGTCCAGACCATTGCAGCCGCTTTGGGCTTATGCAGGGGCTGTCAGTAGCACATGTGCCAATGAGTCGCTTACACCTCCGCCTTTTCTTTCTTTCGAAAAAAGCCAGAGGCTCACACTACTGATTGCAGACTCCAAAGGTCCAATCACAACCCCGTTTCAGTTGGTTGGTCACCCGCAGGTGACCTACGCGGGAGCAGCTGCACAGGGTTGCCAGCTGCTCTTCAATCCATACCTGTCCCTTTTTGACGTTTTCCATCAGCTAACTTATAAATGGCTTCTTTCTTGTAGCTCATGGCTGCTGTCGGCGGACTCACAGTGCAACGGAGTGTATGGGCACTGTTGGCAGCGACCAGATTCGTCACAGGCTAAATGGACACGCCTTCAGGGCCTCAGGAGAAAAGACTGTTTGGGGTCTTACCGCTTTGTAGAAGAAAACATCACTTTAGAATTTTTGGTGATGCACCAGAAACCCAGTGCGCCTTGATATTTTGGCTGCGGATGCAACACATGCTTTCCGGATAAGTCCCAGTTTGGCAGCACCCCACGGTAGCAAAGGAGCTCCAGTCTTTCTTGGTTGAGTTTTGGGACAACCATGTTTTTGCAATGGCCTGAAACGAATGGAAAAGGTCTACGCTTATGGGACTGCGACAGCTTCAGCAACGGCAACTCTAGCAACGACAACTCCAGGAGAGTGTTGCCATCTGTCCTTGCCTTCGCGTCCAGCAGGAAGTCAAGGGCAGTCCAAACTAACCTTTCCTTAGGCATCACAGCAAATTTATGTGCATACAGACGAGCTGAAGTCTTCGTTTGAGAGGGCAACATCCGACTGCTGAACATTCTGACAGGACAGTCAACTCAGGACTTTTGCCAGCCGCCACCTTCAGTTTGGAACGGCGAAGGTCGTTTTTTTATAGATCCAGGTGCTATTGAAGGACAGGACAAGAGGCCTCTTTTCTTTGCTCCCATCGCCTGAAAACTTCACTGGAGGCTCACTCCTGCAGTCTTTTCTTCCGGGTCGCATCCAAGGGAACGGAAGCCACCAGCTGACCTGATCTCACCGATTTCAGCCCGCACTTTGGCGAACTTTTATGCATCTTAGAAAGCCAGGACTTCTGCTGCTGCACAGCCTGAAACTGGTGCTTCTGGGGCCCAACAACCTCTAGGGGAAGTGCACAGCGAACTATTTTGCCGTGTCGCACGAGTCAGGGCTGCCGTAGCTGTCTCTGCCATTATGAAAGCTCCATAGATTTGCTGACTGCGCAGAAGACTGTAAAACATTGCTGCAGCTTGCTGCTGCAGACAGAGGTCCAGGTAGAGGCACTACATGGTCTCAGAAGCTTTTGCAAAGATCTAGAACTGGAGCCCGACACAGCATGCTGCAGCTGCTCATGGACTGAAGCCAGCAGCAGGTACAGAGGCAGAACTTAGGGCGACAACCAAACCGCCGGCAGCAGCAGCAGCAGCAGCAGCAAAGATAGCCTTTTCGGCGGCCTCAGCAGCGAACTCCCGAAGAAGCTGTGACCCTTCCTGCTGCTGCTAGGAGAGCCGATGCAGCTGTTATACAGGACTTTGTTGCGAACAGTAAATCTGCAGGCAGCGCAGCAGTCGCAGCAGCAGCAGCAGCAGAAGCCACAGCAGCACCCGGCGCACCAGAAGCTCACTGCCCAGTGTCAGTGCGGTCCCTTGAAAGCATCTGCAAACAAAAGAACAACTGCTGAAAGAAGAGCAGCTAGAGAGAAGACAGAAGACACAGATGCAACAACTGCAGAGGCCGCCGCAGCCACTGCAGCTCGCCACATTTCAGTGGCAGCAGAGGATCCGCACATTCCTGCAGCAGCAGAAAAGCTGGCCTTGGCAGCAAAGCAGCAAGATCTATAAAGCGACTTTTTGCGCCTTTTCCGAAAAGGCCAGTTCTTGATTTATACTTTCAGCTAAATAAACGACAAGGGGAGTCTACAGTTCTGACCAGACTGTTGCGTCCACGCAAATCGCCTCAGAAGCCGCAAAGCCAGAAGCAGCAACAGCAGAAGCAGCAACAGCAGAAGCAGCAACAGCAGAAGCAGCAACAGCAGAAGCAGCAACAGCAGAAGCAGCAGCAGCAGAAGCAGCAACAGCAGAAGCAGCAGATTTTCGGAAATGGAAAGGCGCCAGCAACTGACTCCGCCCGGCGGCCTGGAGCCAACTGACCCTTCAAGAAGTGCCCAATTTGCTGCTTCCGGGCAGTTTGCCCAGCCCCTTTCTGGAAGCACTTCTTTGGCTGAGGCCCCCATTTCTATGGAAAGCGGGGCTGAGCAGCAGGGGCAGCTGCAGCAGATGCTAAGTCTGGACATCAGCGGCGAGCTGCGGCAGCTGCAGCGCGAGGAGGGAGAAGTCGTTGTGCAGCAGCAGCTTGTTGAGGTCCAGTCGCAGCTGGAAGCACTTAGATGCCAGCAGCAGCAACTACAGGACTCACTGTCTCCTCAAATGAGAAAAAGTCTTTCCCCCAGTCACAGCCAGCTGCCCTACGAGCTGCAGCGCATGCATTTGGGCCCCCCGCTTCCGCTGCAGCGGCAAGTGGGTGACCAGCAGCAGCAGCAGCAGCTGCTGGAGCCAGCGCAGCACAATGCAGATGGTCCTCAACGGCCAGAGCGGTCGCCGTCTTCTCCGCAGCAGCAGCAGCAGCAGCAGCAGCGGCGGCAGCTGCAGCAGCAACAGCAGCCCAGCGTGCGCCGCCAGCAGCAGCGCCAGGGGCGTCAGCGGAGAAGACAATCCAACTACCTGCAGCCAAGCCGGACGCAGCAGCAAGAAGAGCAACAACAGCCGCAGCGACAAGATTTGGGAGGAGGACAAGAACTACATCAGCAGCAGCAGCAGGAGCGGGGGCAACAGCGGCGGCACCAGCAGCAGCAGCAGCAACAACAGAAGCAGGAGCAGGAGCACGAGCCGCAGCAGCAAGAGGAACAGGAGGAACAGGAGCAGCAGCAGCAGCGCCGCCAGCCCCGGTCATCGCAGCACTTTTCTTCGTTGGAGCAGCAGCAGCAGCAGTTGGAAGCCGAGGAGCAGCAGAGCGACATGGAATTTGTGCAGCAAGACATAGAAACAGTAGAGGGTGTTGCAACACAGCAGCAGCTTCTGCTGCTGTCCCCGACTTCGCAGCAGGCGGCGGAAGCGGCAGTGGATTGCGAAGCAGCAGCAGCAGAAGAGTTGGAGCAAGTGCTGTCGCTGTGCGTTGAGCAGGAGCTGCTGCAGCAGCAGTTGGAAGAGGCGCAGCAGCAGTCCCCGACGGAAAAGATTGAATGTTTTGAAAGTCTGTCTTGCGATCCTGAAGAAGAACTGACTGTTGAGCAGCAGCAGGAGCAGCTGCGGCTCAGCGAAGAAAGCTGCAGCGAACTCTCAGCGCTGGAGCAGCAAAAGCTGCAGGAAATTGAAGACATGAGGGAGCAGCAGAGCAGCGAGCTGGAGGGGATCTTGCGGAAGCACAAGGAGCAGCTGAAGAGGCTGAAGTCGATGCAGCGCAACCAGGGGGGGCTGCAGCAGAAGCTGAATCGGCAGCAGCAACGGGAGCAGCAGCAACGGCATGCGCAGCAGCAGGAAGAGCTGAGGCACCTGCACCACCTCCAAGTCAGCGAAGTCGAGCAGCGGCACCAGAAGGAAATGGATGCGCTCATTCGAAAGATCAACGACGACTTGGGCCTGCCGCAGCCCCCCACGCCCCCGCAGCAGCAGCAGCAGCAGCAGCAGCAGCAGCAGCAGCAGCAGCCGAAGCCGCGGGAGTACCTGCGCAAAGTGCACGCGAGCCCCATGAAGGAGGAAGACGTGCACGCCGTGGTGCAGCAGCAAATGCTGCTGAACCACGAAGAGGAGGCCTTTTTGGTTGAAGAGGAAAGAGAGAGACAAAAGAAAATTCAGGCAGAGAGACAACTCTATAGAGAACAAATGAGAGCAGCAGGGCAGTCAGTGCCTCAAGAACAGCCCAAGAGAAAGCCCCTGGCTCTCGTGGACACTGAGCACTTGGGCGGCTTCAACCAGCTGCAGCAGCTGCGGCTGCAGGCCGACGCAGAGCAGCAGCAGCAGCAGCAGCAGCAGCACGAGCAGCAGCAGCAATGGGCCGAAGGCGAGGGGCCCCGCAAGCAGAAAACAGTGCGAAACTTCACCAAGGAGCAGCTCCTTCAGGACGCAGGAAAGCTCAACAAACTTCTAGAACATCTGAGACCTGAAAAGGGCATTCAGGGCCTCAGAGAGCGGCAGCTGCAGGAGCAGCTGCGGCTGGTGGAGCGCAAAGAGGGCGACGAGGACCCCGAGCAGCAGCAGCAGCAGCAGCAGCAGCAGCAGCAGCAGCAGCGGCAGCAGATCGGCGAATTGGCGCTGCTGCAAGCCGAAGACCCGCAGCAAGGGCTGCAGCATGCGTCCCTTCGTTTTGGCCCGCTGAGCGAGCTGCTGCAGCAAAACGAACAGCTGCAGCAAACACCAACTAGCCCCTTGCTGCACTTGCCCGCTGGGCAGCCCGCAGCGCAGCCCTCAGCGCCAGCAGCCTCGCAGCAGCAGGAAACGGCGGGCCTAAGCCCTGCCACGCAGCAGCAGCAGCAGCAGCAGCAGCAGTTTTTTGATAGCCCTGTGATAGGGAATATGAGGCTGATTGCGGAGCAAGACAGAGAGACGCAAACAGACCAAAGCGAAGGGGAGGAGCAGCAGCTGCAGCAGCAATACGAGGCCGGAATAGCAGCAGAAGCAAACTTCCCAAGACCGCCTCAGCAGCAGCAAAGGCAGCTGCTAGGGCTCCTGCAAAAGTTTGCAGAAGGAAATGTAGATCCAAGCCCAACAAGCCCTACTAGCGATCAACAGCAGCAGAAAGCCCTTCAAAAGCAGCTCCAAGAATCTTCTTCAACGCAGCAGCTGACGCTGCAGCACGAGCAGCAGCAGCTGCAGCAGAACCTCCTGCAGGCCACGGCAGCAGGGCCTCAGCAGCAGAAGCAGCAGCAGCGCGCACAGGAAGCGCAGAGCGAGGGCCGCCAGATGGGAGAAACCCTGGAGCCCGCAGCAGCTCTGGGAGACCCCACTAGAGTGCAGCAGCAGCAGCAGCAGCAGCAAGAGAGTGAACTGCCAGCTCATGCGGGCCTGCTGCAGCAGCCGCTGGCCGCACCTGGGAGTCTTGGGTATGTGGACACGGCTCTCAGTGAGCAGCAAGAAACTCAGCAACGACAGGAGCAGCAGCAGAGGGATCACAGGCCTCTTTTGCGGGAACTTTGCAGGCAGCAGCTAAACTTGCAGCCGCTGCAGCAGCAGCAGCAGTTGATGCTGCAGCAGCAGCAGCCGCAGCCAGCACTCGAGCAGTCCGCGCAGCCACCGGCGCGGCTGCTGCTTCAGGTGGGGCTTCAGCAACCAACACTGCAGCAGCAGCTGGCGCAGCAGCAACAAGAGCTGCAGCAGCTCCAAGCAGTGCAGCAGCTGCAGGAACACTCCTATTTGCAACAACAGCAGCAGAGGCAGAACGTGACACAGCAGCACCAACTGACGCAGCTGAAAGCAGCACCGATGCAACAGACGCAAGCGCAGCCGATGCTGAATATTCAACAAGCTCAGAGTGGCCAGCAGCAGCAGCAGCAGCAGCAGCAGCAGCACACCGGGACGCAGTGGGAGCAAATACGGAGACTGCATTTGCAAGAACGCCTGCACGTGCGGCGAATGATCGAGCAGCAGCAGCAGACGCTGCAGCTGCACCAGCGAGCGCTGCAGCTGCAGCGAGCGATGCACCTGCAGCAGCAAACACTGCAGAGGCGCCAGTATGCTCAGCAGCAGCAAAGCTTGCTGCTGCAGCAGCCCGCGGGGAGACAGTTGTTCTCGCACCTGCAGCCGCCGGCGCAGCTGCAGCTGGAAAGACAAGTGGAGCAGCACATACAGCAGCACCAGCAGTCCCCCACAAGAGAACTGCAGCAAACAATGGGCTGGGAGCAGACGCAGCTGCACAGGCTGCTGCAGCAGCTGGCACAGAGCAATCCATGGCAAGCTGCGCAGCCGCTGCAGCAGCTGCAGCAGCTGCGCCAGGCCGCCCTGAATGCGCAGTTTCCGCTGCAGCTGCACATATCGCAGCAGCTGGTGAGGCTGCAGCAGCAGCTGCAGCAGGTGCGGCCCCTACAGTCAGCAAATCAAGTGCACCAATTGCTACAGCTGCAGCAGCAGCAGCCGCGACAAACCTTACAGCCCCCCCAGCAGCTGCAGCCGCTGGAGCAAGGAGCGCAGGCTTTGAGAACTCCACCGCAGTCTTTAAATGCTCCGCAGCAGCCACCGCAGCAGCAGCAGCAGCAGCAGCAGCAGCAGCTGCAGCAGCTGCAGCTGGAGCAACTGCAACAGCAACAGCAGCTGGAGAAACAGCAACAGCAACAGCGACAGCAACAGCAGCAGCAGCAGCAGCAACAGCAGCAACAGCAACAGCAGCAACAGCAGCAACAGCAGCAACAGCAGCAAATGCCGAACGTGAGGCAGGCTGCACACCAAATGCAGCGGCTGCAGCCGCCCAAGCTGCTGCTGCAGGTGCCTGTAGAAAACGAAAGAGGCCATATTGGTGCTGCTGTTTTCGCGCAGCGGCAGCTCAGGCTGAAGCAGCTTCAGGAGCAAGTGAAGCAGCAGCAGCAAATGCAGCAGCAAGTGCAGCAGCAAGCGGTTCAGGGAGAGCAGAAAAAGCAGCGACAGCAGCAGGAAGCCTGGAAGCAAATGCAGCAGCAGCACGAGGAACAAGCGAAGCAGCTACAGAGCCTGCTGCAGGGCCTGAAAGACTGCAGCACAATTCCAGAAACTTTGTGGAAACGGGCCAGTGCCCTGGTTAGAAAACAAATGGAATTGCATCAGCAGCAGCTGCAGCACGTGCACCAGCAGCAGCGAGAAACTGTCACGGCCACGCATGCGGACCAGCGCGAACAGGTGCAGCAGCAGCAGCAGCAGCACCTTCAGCAGCTTCCGACAACAGAGCTCCGCATCAAAGTCACCTGGCACCACAACACTGTCAACGGGGTGCTGCAGCAGCACCACAGAATGCAGATGGCTGCGCTCAACGACACACAGAGACAGGAGAAGGAGGTCCTGCTGCAGCAGCAGCAGCAGTTTGAACGGGCTCTGGCCGGCGACCCGCTGCAGCAGGAACGCTGCAAGCAGCAGCTGCTGCAGGCCATGCACCTGCTTTCTCAGGGGCCGTTTGTCCAGGGGGAGGCAGAAGAGGAGCAGCAAACAACAGAACAAGTGCAGCAGCAGTCTCCGAACCAAAAGCAGGGGCAGCGGGAGCCGCGGCCGCCGCAGCAGCAACCACAGCTGCAGCAGCAGCTGCGGCGACAGCGGCAGCAGCAAAAGACGCAACAACAGAAGCCACAGCAGCAGCAACAGCAGCAGCCGCAGCAGCAGCAGCAACAGCCAGGGCAGCTTCTCCAGAACGCCGAGCAAGAAAAGAGGCGCCAAGCAGCAATGGAAGTTTTGCTGAAGCTTCGGCGGGCACACGAAGAGGCCGAGCCTGAGCGGCAGCAGCTGCTGCAGCAGCTGAAGGCCCAGCACCAGCGGCAGCTGGAGCTGCTGCAGAGGGTAGGAGAGCCAGGGCTGAACTTTGCTGCAGAGAGCAGCAGCACGCAAGAGGTCCTTAATAGCATATTGAAGGTGATGGTGCATCAGAAGAACCTGGACGCTCAGAAGGCCGAGCTGCTGGAACTCGCGGAGCGGCAGCTGCAGGCTGGCTGCGGGATCAGCAGCAGCAGCAGCAGCAGCAGCAGCAGAGTGGCCAGCAGCAGCCGCAGCAGCAGCAGCGCCGCCAACGGCGCCTACAGCTCTGCGAGAACCCGCGCGAGCAGCGCGAAGACCAGCAGCAGCAGCGATCCCTGGCAGGCAGCAGTCGCCGCAGCAGGTGCTGCAGCAGGTGCTGCAGCAGGTGCTGCAGCAGGTGCTGCAGCAGGTGCTGCAGCAGGTGCTGCTGCGAAGACACGGGCTGCGGCGACGAAGGCAAATCGCTGGGCCTTTCGCCCCACAAGCCGCAACTCTCAGTGCTCGGCGCGAGCAGCAGCTTCGGCAGGCGCACTGGCTTCAGCAGCAGCGGAGGCAGCAGGGGCAGCAGCAGCAGCAGTAGCAGCAAGAGCGTCGCGCTACGCCGCGGTGCTGCAGAAGATGCCGCAAGAGGAAGAAGCAGCAGCTGCGGAGCCGCCCAGAGACCGCGAGGGGACCCCTGCTGCTGCTGCTGCTGCTGCTGCTGCTGCTGCTGCTGCTGAGCGCGAAGGCCGCATCAAGACTCTCGACCGAAAGTCCTTGGTGGCTCGCGTGGCTTTGCTGCTGCAGCAGTGCGACGCCTGCTTCGCGCTTCCGAAGGTGGCAGTGGAGCCCTTTCTGGACTTCGTGCGGTACATTGTGCCTGCTGCGGAGCAGGGGGAGACTCTGCGGGAGCTGCAGCGGCAGCAGCGGCTGCAGCAGCAGCTGCTGCAGACGCTGCAGTCGTTCGCAGCAGCAGCAGAAGAGCTGCTGGCGCAGCACCCCGAACTGCTGGTCGAAGTGGCCTCGCTGCGGCAAAACACTCTCGACAGAGACATGCAAGAAGCTGTTTGCTTCAGAAACTTCGAGATCAGCAGCGCCGTGCTGCAGCTAGCTGAAGACACGCTGCAGCAGACGTTTCCGGTGGCCCCGGGGGGGCCCCTGGCTGCGACCCTCCGGCGAATTGCTGCAGCAGCAAACAGCAGCAGCTTCGGGGGCCCCGCTGCGCCCCACTGGCTCTCCCGCTGCCTCCAAACTCCCCTTTCTCTCTTCCTCCCCACACAGGAGGCCCTTCTGCACGGCCCCCTCGTGCGCTGCCCCCCGCGGGGCCCCCCGGGCCGGCTCTCGCCTCCGCCGCGGGGGCTGCCGCCTGGGGAGTCTTACTTGGCTCCGCTTCACGGGGTTTCTTCTTCATTTGCTTTTCCGGACTTCGAGGACTCAGAGCCTGGGGAGTCCAAGGGGGGTCCCCCGGGGGGCCCCCCGGGGGGCCCCCCGGCGGCCAGCGCGGGGCCCACAGTTGCCTACCAAAAGCCCTACGGCCCCGGCCCGGGGGCCCCCACCAGCGCCGCCGCGCCGCCGCGGCCGGCCTGTGCCGCAGGGGCCCCCACAGACCCATGGGGGCCCCCCGGGGGGGCCCCTGGGGCCGCAGCGGCTTTTCTCGCTCGCCCGACATGCAGGGAGTGCCCCGCGTGGCAGCAGCGAGAAGGCAGCAGACCCTACACTTGCAGACCCATCAGCAAAATGGAACGCCACCAAGTGGTGCAGCAGCAGGAACATTTGCTGCTGGTGCACCACCTGGAACACGGGGAGCCAGAGCCTCCCCCAAAGCCCCCGCGGGCCCCGCCGAAGCAGCGGGGCCGCAGGCGCCGGGGAACTAGAGGCGCTGCTTCCAAGGCTGCATCTGCTGCTCCTGCTGCTGCTGCTGCTGCTGCTGCTGCGGGGGCCCTGGAGAATTCCAGCAGCAACGGCAGCAACCACACGCACACTCGGACTTCGGCTCTTGGCCTTGCTTCTCGGGGGATGCTTTGCCTTGGGCTTTCCCAGCCCTTTGGGGCCCAAGGGCAGAGCCGACGCGGCGCCCGCTCCTCTGCTGCTGCTGCTGCTGCTGCTGCTGCTGCTTCTGCTGCTGCTGGGGGCGTGAAGGTGGGTTCCCCTGAAAGAGTAGCCTTCAAATGGCCCGAAAAACACGAGGGGAAAATAGTAACTGTAGTGGATTGGCGGCCGCCTCGGGAACAGCGCTTGGGCTCAGCCAATAAGCCAGAAACAATTTATAACGCAGAAATGCCCTTTCCTTCTTGCCTTCTTGTGGGGAGTGAAGAAGACCTCCACACCCCGTCGGGGGCCACCGGGGGCCCCGGCGCTGCTGCCTTTGCTTCCGTTTCGCCTGCTGCTGCGCTGCTGCCGGAAAGCAGTGGAGAAGCTGCTGCAGGCGCAGCGAAACAGACAGAGCCGCTTGAGGATGACCTTTCTTTTCTGAAGTCCTTTAGAGAATTGCTTATGTGTTCTGTTCCGCACTCCTCCGCCTTCAACTGCTGCGAGCTCTTGGCCGACAGTTTGCGCAGCGCCGCAGGGCCTTTAGAACATTCAGCGCAGGCCCGCAGAAGCAGCCGAAACTTCTCCATCCCCGAAAACATCCTTGGCAGCCCTCGTTCTGAAAGGAAGCCCAGGCAGCAGCAGCAGAAGGGGGAAAAGCAGCAGAAGCGGCGGAAGAAGGAGGCGCAGCGCCAGCAGCAGCAGCAGCAGCAGCAGCAACAGCAGCAGCAGGAGGAAGAGGAGCAGCAAGCAGAATCGTCGACCCGGGCCTCGCCAACAGATACAAATGCAGCTCCAGATTGCCACGCCCCCTGCAGCGGAGGCAGCAAAGAAGACACATCTATTCTTTCCTCAGCTTTTGCTGTCCGCGCATTAGACTCAGACAGCAGACGCTGCAGCGAGAGTCCTTGTGTGGGCCAGAGCCCGCAGCAACAGCAGCAGCAGCCACTAGTCGCAGGACCGGCGGCGCTCACTGATGGATGCGGCAGGCGTGGAGGCAGCAGCAACTACACCCACGCCGCAGCAATTGCTGCAGCCTCTGTGGCTGGCCCTGAATCTCCCTTTGCTGCTGCTGCTGCTGCTGCTGCGGCCTTTGCGGATGCTGACAGTGCTGCCGCGTTTGCTTCAACGACGTTGGGGACAAGTGCAGCTTCTCAGAAACGCAAAAGCCATCAGGATGCAGGCGGGGAGCCGCAGGCGCGCAACAAACGAACAAGGGGGACAGACAGGTAGTCCCAGTAGCCCCACACGACTGTGGAGAGCAGCTAGCCACAGCCAGAGCTAACGGTCTAGCTCTGGGAGCCAATGCTTTTAAGAAATCCATCAGGGCCATGCCGACTCGATGAAGTGCTGCGAGTCCGGCATGTTTCTTAGTAGCCTTTTTTGTCTTTGTTGAGGCAGCTCGTGCCGAATTGTCTTGTAGCGAAAACCTCGGGCCCTGTTCGTTTGCAACTAGCAGCAAACAGGCACGCCGCCCGATGCTACCATTTTAGTTATTTGAAGCATTACTGTACCCTCATTTGCTGTTGTCGTGCCGTTTTGTCTGGGGATTAGAGAGCTTTAGCCTCCTCATTCGAAAAAAGCAGCAGAATATGAAGAGAAATTAGCAAAATTGGGTGGTAAGGGGCGAGGGCAAAGCAGCCCAGATTAGCAGGGTTGGCTGGCAGTGATTCAGGCACATACAAATTGACGCGTAGAAAAGGAAATAGGAAGGAAGAACAGATTTAAAACGAGCCCAACTGGGCGCCCAGAAAGGAGGTTGACAAACAAATGAACCAGGGAGAGGCCAGTAATGATAAATGGCAAGCAGCTGAGGTCTTCATGAGCTCACATACACATGGGTATCTCAAGCTCTATATATATCCGGATTCCGGGTGAAGACAGAACATAGCAGCTGCTAAATATCTCTTGTATTCAGAGCCAAGCTCTGCTGGGTTGTTTGGCGAAGCTCAGCCCTTATCTTGCGTTTTGCACCCGGTAGTGCTACTGTTGTGGGCAAGCTGCTGTTTCTGTGTCAGTATCAAATTCAGGTGCAAGGAATTAGGCTTTAAAACTGTGAATGCAACGAGAGGCGGAGTGGTGAAGCACCAGCATTTGCAGAAAATGCCAAGGCAGTGAATACTGTGCACAGCAGCAGCAGCGCCGCCTACTGCGACAGCACTTCCAGCAGCAATGCTTACGGCAGCAGCAGCTACAAGAGCGACACTGTTTTCAGCTACAGTAAGGGAGGCAGCTGTAGGACAATGGCTCTCTACGCTCCTTCTGTTTACGTTTCGGCGGCGTGAACCCGTCGATAGTCCATTGGATGCTGATTTGGTTTCATTAGCGATAGATTGACAATTTGGAAAGAACGGCGTTGATTGGCAAGGTGACTCCAGAGTGAACACAAGAGTTTACATGCGGCAGCTGGCCACAAACGAACACTAAAGGGAGCTACTGGACAAGACTGGGGCCCCTTCTCATACTAGAACGACCGCCACAACCGTAACAGAGCAGCTGCAGCCCCTGCTGCTGCGGCAGAGCAGCAGGCGGTGCTGCTTCCACTGTTGGTGCTGCTGCGGATACGCCCGTAGCATCAGTTGCGGCGGCGCGGCTACCAATTACAGTAAACTGAAGTCTGGTAAACGCCAAGCCTACAAGCTTACTCCCTTTTCTCTTGCAGAAGCTCAGCATGCAGGTGGGCTGTTCAGAGGCAGTCACGCAGACGCGGAAAGCCACCAGCGCGGCCACTTAACCCCATGCTCCTGTGGGCTTGCCTGTGGCAACAACATGGGGAAACCCATTGCCACAAGCTACTCAAAGTCACAGCAAGACATATGTGGGATTGCTTGTTCTGTTTTTCACGGCAGTCTAAATTACCCCAGCGAGATAAAATTCAAAGTTTCCCGCAGCAGAAAAAACATGGCCAGAACAGTAACACAAACGGCAACAGCAGCAGCTGCTGAGGCAAAAGTAGCAATCATAGACCAACGCAGCAACAAAACAAAACGTTGGGGAGAAGGAAGCTATAGCGCTGTCTACACACGCATCAGCAGGAGGCACTGAAGTTGCAGCAACGGGAAAGCTGAAAGAACGATGAAACTTCAACAGTAGCCTTACGTAGTATCAGCAACAAGAGAACCACACACCCACGGCAGCAGCAGCAGGACTAGAAGAGGCAGCATGAGCGAAGAGGCTCTTCGACGACTTACCCCGTGTGTCAGTGAGCCCTATTCGTGTTCGCCAGACCTTGCTAGCTAATGTTCTTGCTTTTGCTGCTTTTAGCGGGGGGGTTGTCATTTGGCTACTGAGGCAGCATGCCAGTGCGGCAGCCAACAGTCAAGCTGGAGTGGTGGTCGATGTGCAGCAGCGAAGCGGCGCCCCTGCTGCAGCGCCGCCAGTTCAAGTTCAAGAGCCGCACTGCAGTGTTCACGGGGTCGTCGAAGCTGCTTTCCGCGTCTGCTGCTGCTCGGAGAGCCCGGCCATCCCTCTCGCTGGCCGGCAGCGGCAGCTCCTCGTAACTTGTGTCCAGTTCTTCAGAACAAACGGGAGCCTCAATGGACGGGGGGGCTCTCACGCACAAGTCCAAATGCCCGTCATGACCCAGCAGGTAGTCCAGCGTGTGCAGCAGCAAGGAGTGTTGCTGCAGCAGCAATGCCAGAGGCGAACAACGGAGCAGCAACAGCAATCGTCACGAAAGCAGCAGTTCAAAAGTGGAAACTGCTTCTCAACGTCTGCCAACTGTTTCGAAATTCCGTAGTCATAGTAACACCACTGCAATTAGACAAAAACAGACTTTGGCGCCAGCACACACAGATGCACGCAAAACTGCAACAGGACAGCCATAAGACTGCAGCAGCAACTGCAGACAAGGGCGCGAGTTTTCGCTTTTAAGAAAAAGAAACCCTTCGCAGCCCAGCGACTGAAGCACCTTCTGTAAAATTCCCCAGTTCACTTAAACTTTAAATGCCCCCATTCCACTTAGACTTTAAATGCCCGCAGTCCACTTGAACTTTAAATGCACATTCAACATTTCTCGAGGCCCCAAAGTCTAAACTGTAGCTCAAACTCCTTAAAAGGTTCTGCCGTTGTTTGTTGCTCACAATGTTGAGATGCTTCAGAGAAGGCATATCCATCAGCTTGAGAGATTTGCAGGTGAAGTCATATCCAGCCTTCGCTGCCCTGAGCAGCAGCAGCCACACAGAAAAGTGCCCTGCCTGCTGCATTTAAAGATGTACTTTTCCTTATTTGTTCCTTCACGTGCATGCAGCTAAACAGACTGCACGTGCTTGCAAATGCAGACACGCTCTGCTTAGCTGCTTGGCCGTTCCTTCTTTCTCAGCTTTTACATATACGTGCAAACCCGCAATCTTGCAATTCTGAAAATAAGCACAGTTACGTTTTTGCAATTTTGGGCTGCCCATTCATTTCTAGCCACCCTTGTGAGTCTGCCTGCGCATGAACTTGCTGTCTTGCACTTATATTTCGTGCTGCTTCTTTTGCATATGTGAACAGGTACCTTCCCGCTTGTGCGTAAACAGACAGAGCTGTGTACAGACACTTGAACGCGTGTACCCATATCCGCATGCATGCAATTCAAGATTTATGCATGCACTTAATCGTGTGTCTACGGCAGCATGCATGTGCAAGCTTCTACATGCGAATGTCTGCACCCGCTGAAGCGCAGCGGCTCACGCCGATTCGCATAAGAAGAAAAGAGCATCTCTTTCGTGGGGCCCGTCTCCAATGGAGAGGATAGTTCTGCAGCATTTGTGCTCCCTCAGGTGTCTGTCCACCTCCTCTTTGAACGCCAGGCGCTGAACAAAACCCAAACCATTAATGTTAAACTCTGGCATTTAAGTTCTAGCACTTGAGCCAGGTGGCATGACTTGTAGGGCTTTTCTCGGGCTTTGCAGAATATCTAAGCCTCCGCAGAAGTGCTTTTTTCTGCTGCTGCAGTGGGGCATTTCCAGAATTGCATTGTGAGGCTCCTGATATCCGTATACTAAATCCCTATTGTGCATCTTTCTAGCAAATATTAAGCCTATGCAACCCTTTTCTATGTACCTCTGCAGCCCCTCAACAAAGGCCCAGGCCCCTGCATGCAAGCCTAGCCGCTTTGCATGCATCGAAAAGCCCCAAATGAACAAAGACAGTGACTGCGGGCCCCACCTTCCAGACAAACGGGGATTCCGTGGAAGGCGAGTCGAAGAGGAATCTGGCGGAGGTCCTGCGGAGTGTCTCTACAAGAGGCCAGAGGCCTGGCAGAAAACGCTTGCAGGTCTCATCTATCCAGCCCTGAGCTGCGTTGGTGATGAGTACAACTCTGCCGATTTCCCGAGCAGCCAGCAGCACTTTGCGGCTGCTCTGGGTCAGCCGCTGCAGCAGCGGCAAGTCCGCAGCATATTCCGAAGGGTCGGAAACCAGGCTGAGGCCCCGAGAGGCAATCCAGGAGTTCGGAAAGAATGTGTCATCCCAGTCAAAGATCACCATGCGTTCGTGCACGGGCCCCAGGCGCCCCAGTTGCTGCGGGGGCCCCGAAGAGGCCGGGGGGGCCCCCCGCTGCTGCAGCAGCCGGGGGCCCCTCCGAAGCCGCTTCAAACCCTCGTGGGCAAATTCTCTGGAGGCCTCTCCGGACTGGAGGGGCCGTCGCCGTCGACTCCGGCTGGCCCGCTCTCTTCTGCTGCTGCCGTCGTCCTCCTTGCTGCTGCAGCTGCTGTGATCCTTGCTGCTGCTGCTGCTGCTACTGCTGCTGCTGCTTCGGGCCATGGGTGAGCTCCAACTCGACTGCGCGCTGCACTCAGGCGACAGGCTCCGGCCACTCGCTGCTGCTGCTGAGACTGCTGCTTTACTGGCTGCTGCTGCTTCTTTTGAGGGCATTTCCGAGAAATTTGTCATCACATGTCCCCTCTGGAGCTTCCAGTGGTCAGTTGCTGCTGCTTCCACAGAGCGGCGTCTGCTGCTGCGTCTGCTGCTTTTGCTGCTGGTCATATCGGACACGCGGCGCTGCTGCTCTGGGGCAAGGCGAGCTCCTTCGCCGCTGTCCCCCGAGATGGACTCTTCTTCTGAGGAGTTGCTGCCGCTGCAGCTGATGCTGCTGCAGCTGCTTCTCCTGCTGCCGTCTTCGCTTTCCCTGCTGCTGCAGTCGTAGTGGCAGCAGCTGCAGCTGCTGTCGCTGCCCAGCTCGTAAGTGTCCATAAAAACTACAGAGGCTTGCTGAGGCTCCTGGCGCGAATGGCTCGAGACGACGCTGC